TTATGCCGCATCTGGTCCGAACTACATGCTACATCGGTGTAAATTGATTGTGGGTTCTTGTAAGCTTATTATTAATGCGTTTTACGATAAAAAATTGTATTGTAGCCTATGATTTTGCACATAAAATATTGTAAACAATAGACGTAAGATTAAAATAAAATAAAATTGAACTATTAAAAAACTTTGTGTCATTGATAAATATGATAGTTTTGACTTTATTCTATATTTAGTTATACTAACCACTTTAAACTTTATTAAATATATGTACTCGTTTATAGGAAATTTCATAGAGAATTCAGAAATGTATACATATTATAGTATTCGATATACCAAAATCAAGATATTTACGTTTAAACGGATTGGGCCCAATCAGCCGTCCATTTTATTAAACAGCTCCGCAGTCAACGGAGAATTACGGTTAGAGTCTCCGCAGCTAAAAGGTTATACACTTTCCTACACTACACACACACACACACACACACACTACCATTTACTTGCCCCTAACACCACCTTGTGGTAGACCCTACTTCTGGAATTCGGTAAGTTTTGTGTTTGCGTATCTAGCTGTTATAAATTAATTATCCATAGACCCTTGGGCCCTCCCCTCAGTTACTCGTTGAGTTGGATTACTATGGGCCCTAATCCAGTCGACCTTTGTCGGGGTAATTGAGGACCGTAACAGTCCTACAAATAATTGTTCCGGGTCTGGATGTTTGTCCTTGTGCAATTTATGTTTATAAACTGCCCCCACGATACAGGAGAAAATCCTAGTGTAGGGGTTACGTTTTTATCAAAAAACAAAAAAAAAACAATATAATATACATATGTACGGCACGTCTGTAGGGTCACCATATACGCAATATTTGTTAAGACACAATTTTATTTCAAAATCAAGCCATAAGTATTATTATAAACAAATATTTGTTATCATGGCTTATCTTTGCCATGGTTACAACGCTTAGTAGGCTGTAGTGTAGTGCTCCCAAGTTAATATACTTTAAGGTAGAATAATGACGCAGTCTAATTAAAGTTTTAGTACCAACCACACGTCTCCTTCATTGACACCCTTCCTATATTACATGGCGACCCTGCCAGGCGGTGCGCTGCAACAATCCATGCACACCGCCTGGCTAAGTTAAAAGGTGGAAAAAATACTTAATTAAAGAATGAAGATAAAATAAATTTATATACGGAATGGATGAAATACCGGATTTGACAATAATAAATAAGCTGCCGTGACTGAAATTCGGTCTGGAGGACACTACATACATTACGTCAAGGCACTCTGACCACGTTTAGCCCAAAAATATAGGTATAAATGGAAATTAGTGAAACAAGTGATAGGTGGAAAGCCTATTGGACACGCAATCACAAACCAAATATCAATAACATGCTAGATATTCGTTCCATGATTGAAAAGGGAAAGAAGTAGTTGTATTCTAGCGGGCATCACCCAGAAGGAATGATGTGAAAATTAAGCCGAAAAGAATAAAGAAGAATTTGAGAGGTAAATTGTGTGATTTTTAATTCTATTTAAAACTTTAATAATTTGAGTTTTTTAATGTTGTTTTTGCTTTTAAAAAAAAGTTATGTATAAAATTTTCTGTATTTAAAATATGATTAAATTGAAAGTATTTATCAGATTATTCACGATTTAATTGTTTTTTTTTAATATTTATATAATTTTATTCAGTTATAGTTTTATATTATTTTTATTACTGTGTCCTGCAAAACTTGAATGAAATAATATGAAGACTACATTTTTACGTATTTACATTTACAATTGTTTATCATTAATTAATTTTTCATATTTTGTAGTTAGCATATCACTGATGATACATTTCGTGTGTGTTTTTATGTAGTAAATTTTATTTAAATGTACACAATTTTGAAAAGAGTTATAACCGATTTGCTATTATCGTTTTTTTTTCTAAAGGCATTAAATCGTTAATTTATATTGTTGCGCGGCTAAGTAGAATCTGGCACTAGCGCCATCTAGTGTCAGGTAACGGAGCGAGGGGAGAGCTTTCCAGAAAATGACATCACTAATCTTTCAACCGACAGCGCCATCTGTTGTCGAAACGAAGAACTAAGCTTCTGGAAGCTGACTCTCGAACTTTCGGCGCTTTGTCGATTGGTGCGCGTATTTACTTGAATGTTCTGTTCGGTACTAATGTGTATTTATAGGCGCTGCAAGGTGCGATCGGGGAAGTATTGAATTTGGCGAGACAAGCGAAGCTTCGGAGCGGAATAAAGTGAATTAGTGTGCTTAATTATTGGTGTTTTAAGTTTTAATTTGTGTAAAGAAAATTAAACTGTTAATTTAGGTGATCCTATCGGCAATTTTTATTGTCACGAACCTCAAGCTCGTAACAATATAATAACCTACCTAAAATATTAAAAATTGTTCTTTATAATGTTTAAATAAATAAATCTATCGTTGTGTGAAGTTTATAGCTGTTATAGTGATTTTTTTAAAAGCAGTTTTTTATAGCAAAAGTATTTTTTTAAAAAAAGCTAATGCATTTTGTGATGTATGCAAAAGTAACATAAATAGTAACAATGTAACTATTTCTAAACTTCTGTGTAAATTAAGGAAATGTTTAAAACTATCCTTTTAAGGTACATTTTACCTGCATTCATATTATAAAATATTGTAAAAGTTATCTTGAAATTAGGCGTGAACACACCGTGTCATCCTAGTCCGATGTAATTACAAACAATGCCTTATACGTACTTTGGAATTTAAAACAAACTTGTCTTCTAGACATGTGTAAATCACTCATTTCTAGCGACCGGATCATTCTAGTACATTTCGTCACGCGTATTGGTACATTCGGAACGATCATTCAAATGGATCATTTCAGGCTCCAGTACTCTGTGGGTCTGTGAGATCCACTGGGAACCGAAAATTTTCTATTTGAGATAGCCATCTACTACATGCTATGGGTAATAAAGTCATTTTATCGGACTAAAATTTATTAACTTTCAAGGTGGTAAGAACAATCGACGCTAGATGGCATAAACACAAAAACCTCAAGTTATCATATATTTTAAATATTTAAAAAATTGGTTTATTCTTAAATTTCACTCCTAACAATACACAATATCATCTTACTTTATATGTCTGAAAATAGTGATTGTAACATTTATATGCTACGAAATTAAACTTTTACCTAACTTATATAATAAGATGGTTGAAAATTACCATTAAATAAATCATTTATCATCAAAACTTTTGAAGTGTTATTTTTAGTAAACTCTACGAAATGATATTTTTAACTCATAGATTTAACAAATAAATAAAATAAAATGTAAAATAATTTTTAATTTAGGTAACAATATTATAATTCAAAAACCCTTAAATAATGAATACTCCTGATACTCTGCAGTTTCCGTATATATTCTCCGCTAGGAGTAATGGTGTTCTGCGTATATATTACTCTATTCTATGTACTGCAGTCTGCATTGTTAATTCGATTCGCCTGTTCATTAAGATCGTTCGGGATTCGGTCGGTTTACAGCTCATTCACAATTCAAATAAATCGCGGGTTAAAAAGGTACCGTCAATTGTTTGTGATTGGTTGTACTGGTACATTCAAAAACAAATGAATGAACCATCAATACTTTTAAGTGTACCAGCTCAAACGAACGAATCGTGCATGATTGACACATGTCTATTGTCTTCAAATATTTGCGGTGTTAGGATTACAATTTGTATTTTGATCTGTGTGTTGCTATATTTTATTATAATGATTACGTTGCTTAACATTGACTTCTTTGTTCCGTTTATCTTAATGTGAAATGTAATAATTTATTTTCGGTTTTATATTGTTTGAATATTTAAATCATAAGATTTTAACTATTATAATTTATTATTTTCTTGGAAAACAGTACTAATTTGAGTAGATTATGAAAGTATTTTCTTCGGGTAATACGATTTTGAAACTCACTACATATATAATGTTTTACACAACTAATTGATTTAAAGTTTGTTGTTCCCATATTGTGAACCTCAATTGAACCTCAAAAGAGATTATTTTATGATTAAAGTAAAAGATGTGATTAAATGTATGGTTAAGTTACGGAATACATAATTATAAATGAAAATATTGATAATGTATAGTTGCGAGAGTAAGATAAAGAAAATTATCGGAGGTTAGTATATTCACATACAATCAGCCTGATCAGCTGAGAGTTTGGAAAACCTAATAGCCGATTAATTTTTTAAGGTTGTTCGGACACGATTAAATGCGGAATAAGTTTTAATGTATTTTATTGAGGGAAATGATAATTAATTATGAATTTTATAGGAATATTGTCCACTATCTTGATCATGTATGTACGCGAGCCGTGTACTTGAAAGTTATGGTACAATTAAATAATGAATTACATGAGCTGAAATGTAAAGAAGTGAATTAAATGATATTGGTAATTTTCTTGATCATGTATATACGCGAGCCGTGTACGTGAAAGAAATGACATAAATGTGTAATGAATATCTAAAGTACTAGTTATGGATAAAATAGGAAAATAAATAAGTAATGGTTAATTAAGAATGAAGTAAATATATGAAAAAAAAAAGAATAAAATAAAATATTGAAATGTAAAAGATTATGAAGATTAAGAGAATTTTATTAAAATCGGTTGAGTAGTTTAGGAGCCCATCGCGGACAAACTACGTGACACGTAATTTATATATATTATCATTATTGTCCTGACTAGATAAATAGTAGGCATAATAACAAAATGATTAAGGATACGAAAAACTTTGCAAAACGCTTTCTTTTAGTGAGTACCTACTATCTACAAAAAAAATATGGGCTTTGAAATCGATGGTCCATATTGGAAAGATTTACCTTTTATCTATTGGAGGGGATATTCTTGGTTTGAATAATGAGTACATTTTTAAACAACGTCGTGTTTGCCATGCTCACTTTGAAGAGAAATATTTCTGCCGAAATAACAGAATAAGCAATATTGCAGTGACAACAATAAATTTGCCAAGTAAGCTATATAATTTCTCATTTTTAATTGTACCATATTATGTAGAAATGATTTTTATGTCATAAATACACAGCATATAATACATTCTTCATCCTTATTAAAAATTAACTTATAGTACACAAAAATTATAATTTTTTTTATAGGGTAAGGGTGATATGTGAGCACATGGCCCACCTGATGGTAAGTGGATGACGTGGCCCATAGATATTGAAATCTATCCTCAATTGCAGATGTGTTGTCCCCCCACTGAGGACTAAGATGGAATGCCTCATATCCGGTAAAAATGATCTCTGGTCCTCACATGAACCAAACGAAACACAGCAGCATTGAGTTGCTATTTTATGCTGGTATTTTGTGAGAGTATGGTCCTTCCCCAGTCGTGCCAACCCATTCATGTTACAACTATAACACAGCCGCAGCAAGGGTCTACTACTATAAAATGAAATCAAATAAAGGACAAACATTAGTTGATGAGTTGCCATGAATATTTTATGTCATCTAAATATGTCTATCAGTAAACCACATTTTTAATGTTTAAGCAATCAAATGTTCATTGACTATAGTTACGCTTAATGTTTAAACCATTGCATTGTATTTTTCAGAATCAATATCTCTCCCAATATTTACACTCTCTGGAAGAAGGCCACTTAGGCAATTAGAGTATTCTTCCAAACCTGTACCATCAACCTCATCAGGTAATTATACAAAGGTTGCATTTCATTTTTGTTAACTGCATGAATGTTTGTTGTATGTTATAATGTTTTTGTAACTTAATAAAAAAAACATTTAACTTTAACACAATATGAAACTTTTACAGGAACTAAAATAACTACACTGCAAAAGTGTCCTCACAAATGTAATCTTAATGTCTTGAATTGAAATTAAAAAAAAAATCATTTAATTTTATTACTGTTACTTTGAGATTTATGATACCAACTCCATTTTTATTACCTCGCTTTACTTTCCTTCTAGCTGTGTTAGCTAGCTGTACCTAGTTTATTATATAATTAAATATTGTTACTTTAATAATGGTTTTATTTTAGGTTGTGCTGCTAGTTTTACCACTACATTTTTTGAAACTGATTTTACAGAGAAAGAAAATATTGGTATGTCACTTGCCTGATATTTTTTAGTTTCATATTATTTAAGACACTTTAGTGGAAATAATATAGCTTGTAACTTATTACTTTACAAGATGGTTCACACTTTATTTTTACCTATTTCCAGTTTGAAAGGTATTTAATTTTTTTTGAAGTCTGAATAATTTGAGATGCCTAAAAAAGGGAATGAGAGGGGTTATCCTCTTTCTAAACAATTAAAAAAAAAACTCAAATTTTACTGGTATACAGTAACCAAATCGAAACATAAATTTGAATTACAAATTTTCATGTACTCAAACTGTGTACAAATGTAAGTTCTCATATTCTACTTAAATAACTAAAATATCCACTTATCATCCCTTTATATATATTAGTACCAGATGTCTAGTTTTATCAAGGTTCAGACTGCAGTGTGATTGGTAATGGATGATGTACTAATAATGGCACTTTTTTAAAATACATGTCAAAATCACACTTGAAAATGATATACGTTTTTGTTATTGTACAGTATGTAAATTATGTTACTATTAAGAATTTTTATTTTATGTACTTTAAATACAATAAATCAAATACAAACCTTATAACTTGTTCCAAAGATCCTACGTTTACGGACTAAAACATATTTCTATATTATATATTCCTATTTTTGATATACTTAAAATGAAACAGCCTTATTGACACTAATGTGCTTAATTTTTATGTACTATATATGTATATCTTTATGTATTTTAATTATTAACATGTTATTTCAGAGCCTATGACCAATATCCAGTTACATTCTCATAAGGAAAATGAAGTGGTTCTTGCAAGAAAAGAGATTAAGCAATTAAGTAAAGGTAAAAGACCATTCCCCTAATGAGATATTAAATTAAAATATATACAACTTAGTTCAATATAAGACAAGTACAAATGTAGACTGAGAGAAAATATAAGTGATTTGAATGAATGTGTATCAATGAGTTACACTTGGAGAATGTGTGGCATAATGTTAAGAAAGGTTTAGTGGATGCAGCTACCGAAGTATGTGGTGTTAGTAAGAGAATGAATGAAAGGAAAGACAATACATTATGGTGGGGTGATGAGGTATGTATGGAAGTTGAAGCAAAGAAGAGAGCTCGGCTAGATTTACTAGCAACCAAAGCCGGTAATTCTGGCGGTATGAATGATGAGATTGGAAGAAAAAAGGCAGAGTTGAAACGCTTAGATAAGAGAGTAAAATAATTAGTTGAAAGGAAAAAGCAAGAAGGAATGGATAAGAATGATAGAAGAATATCGGATAATTTCCAGGCAAATATTAAAATGTTCTGGAAACTCGTAAGAAATACCAGGGGACATTCAAAACTTATGTTTGCAAGATGCAAGATGATGCCATGTGACCAGGATTAAGAAAGGAATGCTTCGGTTGTTCGGTCATGTAGAAAGAATGAATGAGGAAAGACTGACAAAACAAATATATATTGCAGAAGTGAATGGAAGAGTCGGAAAGGGACGCCCTAGGCAAAGTTTGTCGACCAAATTATATATTAAAAATGGGCCAAATTAAGCCCCTTAACCGACGAGCATGTTTGTGTAGGTATATGGATGTAGAAGAGGCGAGAGAGGTATGTCAGGATCGTGCTAAATGGAAGTCTGTAGTCTCTGCCTACCCCTCCGGGTGACAGGCGTGAGTGTTTATGTTATGTTTTTTTTTTTCAATATGACTATCTTTTAATAAGCTATCCATTATTGTAGAATTTTACATGTGAAAATTTTAATTGTCTTTATTGTTCTAGAGTGCCGTACACCCTCACTTGCTGTCACTCAGAAAATTAAGAAAACCATTGCAACTACTCATGCTGAAAATAAATTGTACTTGAAGCTGGTACAGGTAAAAAATAAACTTGCAAAATGCCGTACTAAGGTTAAGGAGCAGTCAGCAAGTCTTAAAGCAGCAAAAAATATTATCAACAATCCTACATTTTTAAATTCACTGGAAAATTTGTCAAGTACTGCAAAGATTTTATTATTAATGCAGTTTAGAGAACATAAAAAAGAAAGGCAAAGGCCATCGCTTCTCAATTGAGGAAAAAATACAAGCACTATCTGTTGTCTCTGTATATGTGTAAGATACTGAAACAAAGTCCAAAATGCTATCGATTTTTGCGTAATATTTTTATATTGCCAGCACCTCGCATGCTTGCTAAATTATTATGCCAAGCAGATGTGAAACCTGGAATTAATGATAAAATCTTCACTAAATTAGCAGATATAATCAAAAAAATTAAAAATGAAGATAAACTTTGTGTGCTTCTTTTTTAATGAAATGGCCCTGAAAGCTAATTTAAAATATAGTGAGAGACTAGACAAGGTTATTGGATTTGTAACTGATGGAAAGTTCACCAAGTCTGACATGGTGGATCATGTACAAGTGTTCATGATTCGGGGACTTCTTAAAAATTATAAAAAGGCTGTTAAAGGTCTTACACTTTCTCTGCTGCTGCTAATTCAGGATCAGAAATAGCAACACATCTAAAGGCGATCGTAAAAAAATTACAAGAAGCCGGTTTTACAGTGGTTGCAACAGTCTGTGACCAGGGTACTAATAATAGACAAGCAATTAAGTTCCTATTAAATGAAACACGAGGTGCCTTTTTAAGAGCAGGAAAAGAGCCCAAAGAAAATTTCATAATGATTGATAATCAAGAGATTATTCCTTTATATGATCCTCCACATCTTTTGAAGTCCATTAGAAATAACTTACTTACAAGGGATCTTCAATATGTTGTAAATAATAAAGCTCAGACAGCCAAATGGCAACATATTGAACTCCTTCATAAAGAAAATCCTGGCTACAAGACTAATACCTAAACTCACAGATAATCATGTTTTACCCACCAAGATCCCTAAGATGAAGGTAAAATATGCAAGTCAAATTTTTAGGCGTACTGTGGCATTTAATATGGGATATCTTGCAGGTAAGAAATAGTTTATTATAATAATTTAATATTCTAATATTGTAATTTTATATTCCGTCTTCCACTCACTTATTCTGATTTGATAAGGGTAACAATGTGTTGGTCTAGGAATAGTATGATAAAAAAATTAGTTGCAGAATATAAATGTACCTTTTTTTATAAGAGATGGGTAAAAAACATGCACATAGTCTACCTGATGGTAAGTGGTTGCTGTGGCCCATAGACATCTACATCTATCCTCAATTACGAATCAAAATGTGAATGCGTTGTCACCCGTGATGATAAAGATAGAATGCCTCTATTGTAAAAAGGGTCTCCGGTTCTCTACACTACACCATACAAACCATACAAAACACAGCAGCGTTGAGCTGCTATTTTACGGTGGTATTATGTGAGAGCGTGGTCTTTCCTAGGGCGAGCCGACCCATTCGTGCTACAACTATACTACTTCTATAGCTGCAGTGCTAAGGTTATGTCAGTTTAGATTCAAATTCTGGTTGGTAGACATTTCTCAGACATACAGGCTAGGTAAATTTAGTACTGAAAATTGTAATTAAATGATTAAGGTTGCTATTCATACTGTAACTTTTATAAAACATTAAATATAAAAATGTCTCATTATTTATCAAATTTCTGTTCTTTTATTCGGTTCAGCTTAAGTCTTTTATGTGTTTATGGCTAAAATAAATTACGTATTTAATCTATAAAAAAATTGTGTAAATAAAACGGAGAACACATTGCCTCATTTTGTCCCGTGGCTGTCATAAGAGATGAAATATCAAAGAAACTTATGACTTCCGTTTAGTCGGCGATATTACCATCTCCTTTACGCCAGACGTAAAATATCGAAATCGACGACGGACAAGCTGCATTAAAGATGTTCACGTCTAAAACTACGATTACCCACCTGCCAAGCATGACAGTTTCAAGTCCAGCAGTACACTTTAATTGGCCTATTAAGTTTACTGTTGGACGAAAAGAAAAATATCACAAAACCTTGCTATGCTCTGATAATACTAGTGTTTACTAATAGATTAATTCTTTTTGTTTTTCAGAAAAAGGCATTCTTCCCAAAGAATGTGAGGAAACTGCTGAAGTACTCCTCTTCTTTGACAAAGTATTTGATTTCGTCAATGGAAGTTATAGTAAAGAAAAAAAAAACTATATGGAAAGCCTCTTCTTGGACCAGCAAGACCAAACTCTGAACATCATAGGATGTGGAATGAAGCTAAAGCTATGTTAAATAATATGAAATTTATAAATAAAACGTCAAATAGTGCTGAAAATGTACCAACAGTCAAAAATTGGGTGTGGATACTGAATGGTATACAAATTCTTTTTAAAAAAATGGAAACTGAGTATGGTATTACTTCAGTTTGGATGCGGCACCTCAACCAAGACCCTATTGAAAACTTTTTCGGGGCCATTAGAAGCCATGGGTGCCGCAATGTTAATCCAACACCAGAACAGTTTCAGAGTGCCTGCACTACACTTTTAATTAACAATATGTCCAGTGTCCATGCCCCAGGTGCTAATTGTGAAAAAGACACTTGTAAGGTTTAGAATCTCTTATCATCACAGATAACTGCAAAGCTGCTACAGCCTGTGACCTTGAAACAATCCCTGATGTAGAAATAATAAATATTGAAGAGAAAAGTGCTCCACATATAAAGGGGGGCACTAGATTATGTTAGTGGATACTTTGCCAGATGTGCTAAAAAAATGTTTTTAAAAACTGTAGCGAATGTACTGCTAACATAATCGCCTTACAAGAAAATGAAGTGATTAAATTCCGGGAATATGCAGGTAAATGGTGGCTTTGCAGTCCCACTGAGTCACTTATAGTATGTGTATCTGCAGTGCAAGACATAGCAAATTCAGTTTTAAAAAACTATTTAAATGAAGACAATATTAAAGAATTAATAAAAACCTTGATATTAATTTATGTAGATTTTGAATTTCTGCAATGTAATTTACATAAAAATAAAATAATTGATTACTTATTAAATTTGTCTTGCCGCTTTATCATATTCAATTATGTCAAAAATATAAATAAGATACTCAGTGGGAAAAGAGACTGTGATGATACTGATGATATATTTCAAATGAACGCCAAAAAATATTTCCACAAGTGTAAAAAAAGACGTTTTATTCAATAAATGCATTTTCCTTTGTGAAATGTGTTTTTATTTTTACATCAGAATCTATAATACTTATTGTAAGAAATTGTATACATAAATAAATTTCTTACAATAAGTAAAACTAAAAAAAATATGTAGAGACTGGAATATAGAAAACTATAGTAGCTATATATACTAGCCTAGTATATATAGCTACTATAGTTACTAGGTGTATAGTATAGCTATATGATAAAAAAAGTTGTTTCATCTGACACCACCAGACGGCAGTACATTCTAGAATTCATTTTTATGCTTGAGATTTCTCTCTATTTAAGTATATTAGAAAGTACTCTGTGATAAATATGTAGAAAGCTAACCATGATGCTTACGCATAATACTGGCTAATATTTCCAATATGGACCATCGATTTCAAAGCCCATATTTTTTTTGTAGATAATACTCACTAAAAGAAAGCGTTTTGCAAAGTTTTAGGTTGCGAAAACTTACGGTTCATGAGATATATTTTTTTAAACTTTTCATACAAATTGACAAATAACACGCAATTACAAAATAAATTTGACAAATGATGGATGTCAAACGTCAATTAGTGTAGGGTTCCGAATATTTTGAAAGTATCAATACCTACTCGATACCAAGTATCGTATTATGTGATAAGTGATGCGATACTTGATATCGAGTAGGTATCGATACATTCAAAATTTTCGGAACCCCACACTAATTGAAACGTGAAGTGATTGACGTTTGACATTAATTAATTGTTTAATTAAGGATATGTTCCGAAATACAACGCAGTGTACTGTCCAATGCAAATGACGTCATGAATCGACGCTATACTGGTGAAAACATTGGACAGTATATGACGTCATACTTTTGCGCCATTTGGAAAAGTGTTGGCGATTATTTTGTGCTCCAAAAATCATTATATCCTGCTAATGGATATACCATCAATTATTCTATAATTTTTGTATTTGAATAAATAGAAACAAATTCTGGCATGATTCATTCGGCAAACACACAATTAAAAATTGTTTTATTATGGCCGGATATCCGACACAATATGGCGGCGGCACGCCAGTACAATAAAGTGTCAAATGATACGTCATTTGCATTGGACAGTACACTGCGTTGTATTTCGGAACATACCCTAAATAACGTTTAGTATTAGTTTTTCTATAGTAAAGTTTCTTTTTTTACATATTGTGTGTAATTAGTATTAATTGTAAATATTATAATTTCATTTCATTAATTAGAAAAAATGTTGACCATTATTTGTCAAATTTATTTTGTAATGCGTGTTATTTGCCAATTTGTATGAAAAGTTAAAAAAAATATATCTCATGAACCGTAAGTTTCCGCAACCTAAAACTTTGCAAAACGCTTTCTTTTAGTGAGTACTATCTACAAAAAATATGGGCATTTAAATCGATGGTCCATATTGGAAATTTTAACCCGGGAATCCCTTGAAGCAGCAGAAACTTATGACGCCGTCTAATCATCCTGTCTTTGAACAGTTTCAAGAGTGGACAAGATAAACTTTCTGAATGTTGCGAACTCCGTTGAGAGTACAGATATATTTGAGGCCATAGTTGGACTAGTCTTATTTAAGTCCTGCTGAAACTCATTCATACGAGTATTGAAGAGTTCTGACATGGCTGACAGTGATCCATGCTTTCGTGTAGTGTTAGCAAATTAAGGAAAATATATATCAAGGAATCAAGGCTGGTAAACAGATGATTATTACATATATGTTTTACATATTAAAATATCCTAATTTCTATTTTATAAATATAAACTACGCGAGACTGATCAAAACATGTGTTACTTATTTCATTCCTACCAATGAAATGGAAACCTTATCAACTATATATACCTTTATGAAGAAGGGTACAAGATCTAAATTATTTATAAGATATAAAATTTGACAAACGAAAACCTTTAATGGAACATTTTATAGACACAAAAAAGCTATTTGCACAACTCGGGGCTGCTGGCAGTGAGCTCTCGGAGGAAGAAAAGGTTAAGTATTTACTCCTATCCATGCCGAAATCTTATGAAGGCATTATCATGGCTTTAGAAACTGTGGAGGAATTGAAAATGGACTTTGTGAAAAACAGACTGTTTGGGGAAGAGGAAAAACGGAATAGAGGAGCGACCAATCTACTTGTGTTATGAATGTGGACACCCCGGATACAAAAAATCCCAGTGTAGGAGAACTCAGCAGGCATGACACAGGACTGATGACTGGAGACTTCACGGCTGTGAACGTAGCAACTGGAAGTATAACGTAGGCCAAGACGACAGTAAGGCTACTCATCATCAGACTCAGGGGAGAGGTAGAGGAAAGTCATTTCTTACAGGCACTGAAAATACTGAAGGTAACAAATTTGTAAGTTTAATGTCCTTTAGCCCTGACACTAAACAGTAGAAAAAGAATAGTTTTAAATGGGTTGCTCACTCAGGTAGTTCATTTCATCTTGTAAATGACATTAGTTTATTCTATGGGTATGTTCCGAAATACAACTCAGTACACTGGCAAATGCAAATGACGTTATCAATCAGTGGCGAAGCTTCCATAAAAGCCGAAAAGCCGGGCTTGCCTTATTAAAACTGAATCAATCAATAATATCAATCAATAATATCAACTAATAAAATAACTCATAAACTGTTTCAAATTATTTCAATTTTCCCGCGCACTCCACTGTTCGACACATGTCGACCGATGAATTTGTATTGCCTTAGCGATACATTTATACAAAGGTACTCTGTGGTGATACTGCTGCTGTCATAAAGTGAGTTTTAATAAAGCGATTAGTCATCTCACTCGTCGCGTGGGCTTTTTACGGGGCTTTCGAGAAGACGATCGCTCTCTTTCTAACCTATGGCAAAATATTCTATAATGAAATATAACTACGAAATATTTATATAGCAATTACTATTGAGCCAACAAGCCTGGCTTTGCCATGAAGTTGTTTAGGAGTGCGTTAGCGACTAGCAAAGTGGTTGCGGGCCCCTCGTATGCAAGTTCTCTTCACATTTCAATGTTTATGTTTGTTTTTGTTGTGTTTGTTAAAAATTTATGCTTTTTCGAAGATTTTCAGTGAAAATGGGAGGATAATAGTGTTCATTGTGATGAATATAAGTGTGTTGAAATGCTAATCGGCGAAGAAAACGTAAAAATCTTTAAAAATAAATTCAAATAACCTCACCAGAAATTCAATAAACATTTCTTCATACTTTAAATATAGGTACGGGATTCTTTAGTATTAAAGTTTAATTAAGTTAGGCGTATTTAAAGGTTTAATAACTCAATATTTATATTATATTTATATTACCATACGAATTAAAAATATCAATTTGAACAGCAGCATAAAGTATGAGACCTATGTTTAATTTTAGAGGAAATAAGTGTTACAATCATTTTTTAACGTGAAGCCCAAATTTTAATTCATCATCATCATCATTACAGCCCTTCACAAGTCCACTGCTGTACATAGGCCTCCCCCAAGTAACGCCACAAAGCACGGTCCTGAGCCACCTGCATCCATCGACTTACTGCATGTCTTACCAGGTCGTCACTCCATCTAGTGGGGGGTCGCCCTACACTACGCCTACCGGTACGAGGCTGCCACTCGAGAACCTTTCTTCCCCATCGGTTATCGGTTCTTCGAGCTATATGGCCGGCCCATTGCCACTTTAGCTTACTAATCCGTTGGGCTATGTCGGTCACTCTGGTTTTACTGCGGATATCCTCATTTCTGAGCCTATCACGCAGAGAAACTCCGAGCATAGCCCTCTCCATAGCTCGCTGAGCGACCTTGAGCGTCCTCGTACGGCCAGCAGTGAAGGACCACGTCTCAGATCCGTAAGTCATCACTGGCAACACGCACTGGTATTACACTTTAGTTTTCAGAGATTGAGGTATACCTGACGAGAAGATGTGCCATAATTTCCCAAACGCTGCCCGAGTTGAATCCGTCGATTGACCTCTCGGTCGAAGTTGGACTTACCTAGTCGGACTATTTGTCCCAGGTAAACGTACTCGTCAACAACTTAAAGCATAGTGCTCCCAACAACTACCGGCATAGCTGTAACATGGACATTAAACATGATCTTTGTTTTGTCCGTGTTCATCTTAAGACCTATGCGTTGGGAGACACCATTGAGGTCATTGAGCATAGTGCTAAGGTCCTGCAGCGATTCTGCCATAAGGACTATATCGTCGGCAAATCGAAGGTGAGTGATGTACTCGCCATTGATGTTAATACCGTATCCTTTCCAGTCCAGTAGCTTGAAAACGTCTTCCAACGCAGCGGTGAAGAGTTTCGGGGATATAACATCACCCTGACTTACACCTCTCTGCAGTTGGATAGGTTTGGAACTCTGGTTCTGTACTCGGATAGCCATCGTAGCCCTACTGTACAAACACTTCAGCACCTCGATATACCGACAGTCAACTTGGCACCGCTGAAGGGACTGTAGCACCGCCCAAATTTCGACGGAATCAAAGGCTTTCTAATAGTCCACATATGCCAGGCAAAGTGGCAGATTGTACTCTTCGGTCTTCTGTACAATCTGCCGCAGGGTATGTATGTGGTCTATGGTACTGAAGCCTTTTCGGAAACCGGCTTGTTCGGGAGGCTGGAAGTCGTCGAGTCTGCGTGCGAGACGATTCGTAATGACTCTCGAAAATAGCATGCAGACGCGGCTCAGAAGGGAAATCGGTCTGTAGTTCTTTAAGAGAGCGTTGTCGCCTTTCTTAAAGAACAAAACCACCGCGCTTCTGCTCCACGCATCCGGAGTAGTGCCGCCATGGAGGACGGAATTGAAGAGCTTCTGAAGAACTTCAAGTACCGGTGTTCCACCCGCTTTCAGAAGCTCCGCTGTAATTCCATCCTCGCCCGGGGCCTTGCCGTTTTTAAGGTGTTGGAGAGCCATTCTAATCTCGCTCAGACTGACGTCAGGGATATCATCGGAATAGTGTCGGATAAGACTTGCTCTTGGATCGTTACTCACACTTGAGTGTGGCTCCAACGATGATGTGTACAGCTGCCCATAGAACCTCTCAATCTCACTCAGAATCTCAGGTGTCCCGGAAACGATGTTGCCACGCTCAGTCTTCAGCTTTGACAGTTGGCTCTTTCTGGCAGACAGATCTCTGGCAAAGATTTTGGAGCCCTGGTTCCGCTCGATCGCTTCTTTAATACGAGAAGTATTAAAGTTGCGTAAGTCTCGCCGCACGCATTTGGAGATCTGTCTGTTCAGTTGCCTGTATGCTGTCAAATCTGTTGACGATTGCAGCCTCATCTCCCGTCTAACAGCCATGAGATTAAGAGTGTGATCGGAGAGTTTTTGTGTTCTTCTGCGGCGGGTCTTGCAGAACTTAGCTCCGACCGCATGGACAGTTTCCACGAGCTTGTCATTCATATCGTCCACTGCATTGCAATCTTCCAGGCACTGAAAGCGGTTACGTAACTCGAGCTGAAAGGTTTCGGGATTCTGGATTTGAGCACGAGGGGGACGGAGCGTTGACTTCATTAGACGAGACCTCTCCAACTTAACGTTTAGGTTCAATATGCCTCTAACCATTCGGTGATCGCTGCCGGTTTTCACCCTTGCGATCACTGAGACATCACTGAACAGTTGGCGTCTGGTCGTCATAATGAAGTCAATCTCATTTTTTGTCGAACCGTCGGGGCTCGACCAGGTCCACTTCCTGTGGGGCCGCTTCTGGAAGAAAGAGTTCATCACAAAGAGTCCCTCTTTCTCAATAAAGTCGGCCAGCTCCTGGCCCCCTCGGTTCCGTTGCCCTACTCCAAATTTCCCTACCTTCAGCTCACCGGTTTCTCTTGTGCCTAGTTTTGCGTTGAAGTCTCCCATCAACACCGTGTAGTGGGTTTTGGAGGAATGTATGGCTCTGGAAATATCCTCATACATTTCTTCCACCTCCTCATCGGGATGTGCCGAGGTTGGTGCGTAAACCTGTATGACCTTCAGCGAATACCGTTTGGTGATTCTGAGTATCAGGTACGTGACCCTCGTCGACACACTCCCAATCTTTACAACGTTGTTGACGAGAGACTTGTGGACGATAAATCCGACACCTCCTTGGTACAGATGGTCGCCCTCCCGGTGATAGAACAAGTTGCCGGACTCGAGGATTGCCGTGTCCTCCCCCTCTCTTCGGACCTCGGATAATCCAATAATATGCCAGCGCAACTTGTCTACCTCTTCTTACAGCTCCAGTATCTTCTCGTTAGTCCTC